CCCGCCTGACCGTGAGTTGCACTGATAAAACCGTCACGAGGGCTTTGATAGGGCATAGCATAGGCCACGGAACTGCCTGGATGGCAATATGAGTGCCCCGGCCCTATTGGTCTGTTTTGGCTGCCCGTAGTACCACCTCCAGGTAGGATTGGTCGCAAAGCAAATGATAAATCCGCTAGCAACACTCGCTTGGCGCTGTGATGAGTCATTACTTGAGCCTGCCACTACCTAAGCTTACCGTGAAAAAATGTAAAATGTCAGTAGATATGCTGCTCGAACAGCGGTGGCTTCATATGAAGACCTACAAACCGTGGGAAGGAGTTGCACAATGAGCGCTAGCAGATCCACCGTAATAGGCTGTCTCCTGTCGGATGCCCGTCCTGGACATCCCTGCAATGGCTTTCTGCACTAGAAAATGATTAGACATGCATTGCAAGGAGTTGAGCTTATGGATGGAGGACAAGGCTGAAATGTAGGAGCGGGCCGTGCTCGGGAGACCTATCTGATAACGAGAGATAGGCTATAAAATGTAGCATATGAACTAAGGGCACTGGCCAAAGGTCAGGCAGGGACTACACCGCCCGAAATCCCCGCTGTGACTGAACTGCCGACTCGTATGTCTTCCAGGTGTTTGCCGCCATTGAGTTGGCTACCGGACTGCTTACTTCTGCTGTTAGATGAGCCAGATGTCTGCTGGGATTGCAGGATTGCAGAGGCCTGTTGATCCGCTTGAGGGTCTGCTGCTCGAAACCATGACAACTGAAATCTCGAAAGAGCGCCTGCTATTATGTTGTCCTGTGAAGGTATATAACGTGCTTTGAAGTAAGCATATCAGGACCATTCGCCTGAGCAGTTTCATTACCCTTTCCCCTTTTGCTGTGTGCCTATTGATAATACTCACCACCACCTGGTTGACACAGAACATTAGCACTCTTTTGTTCGCCAAACTGCTGCCCCAGATCCTCAACGCCATGACTATAGGAAAAAGCTCTAAGAATGTCATGTCTTTCATCCAACCTTGTTGTCGCGATAGGTCTGGCCACTTGGTGTTAGCCCAGCGGCCTTGGATGTATGCACCACAACCCTGGCTTCCTGCTACATCTGTATAAAGCTGTAGAAGTGGGGTGGAAACCCATCCTTGCTCCAAGAATAAGGTGTGCGATTGGCACACCAAGGTGATTGGCGAATTGAAGGGAAGTCTTGAGCATGTGCGAGCAGGTGCTTAAATCCGCCGCAGCCAGGATAAAATCATCCAGATAATGAGCTATATCCTGGCTACACGTTGTGGCCTTAATGGACCATTCGATGAAAGTGCTAAATGACTCAAATAGAGCACCTGAAGTGGAACAGCCGAAGGGGAGACATTTATCAATGAAAAATTTCCCCTAAAATATCATGCCGAGCAGCTGGAAGTCCGACGGTTCCACCGGCAGGAGACGAAAGGCTGATTTGATATCAAATTTGGACATATATGCACCAATGCCGAGGTTTGAATCATAGCTACCGCCTGATCAAAACTGGTGCACTGCACTGTGCATGCTTCCTGCGGTATATAGTCATTCACCGATGATCCTTCAGGGTATGATAAGTGATGGATGAGGCGGAAAGCAGCCTCACGCTGGACAGATGAATCCGATTTCTTAGGCACCAAGCCGATTGGGGAAACTATAAGGGAGTCCACTGGTCTGTGTGAGAATGGGCCCGCTATGCGACCCAACTGAATTTCTTTCTGTAGTTTTTGTTCCACCAGTAGTGGCTGCTCAATCGCAGATTTAAGGTTGACCACATCCCGAGCAACCCGTGGCCCTGAATATTTTATACTAAAGCCCTGACTAAAACCCCGTTCCAGTAACTGAGCTGCTAATGGGTTGGTAACATGATAATGCTCCACCCACTGTCGCAAGTATATAACTTTAACTGGAGATGGGGCCATGCGAAGCATTTCTGGTTGGCAGGGCAGTGGGTTTTGGGTGTTTGTGCGGGAACTGTGTTGTGCTTTTTGGCACGAAAACAGGACGACGCGACATGGCTTCCTATGTTGCGTGCCGAGCATTTGTGGGCATAACGACATGTCTGTCCCCGATCCCACACGCCACAATTGAAATTCCTACAAACCTCGGTAGGCGCGCGCTGTTGAGGGTACCTGGGATATCTGGCAGAAGGTGTGTGCGTCTGCTGTTTATTGCAGGGAAGCATTAGCTGCAGCCACAAGCAAAAGGTCAATTGCGCCCCAAGAACGTGATGGATCTCTCTCCATTTCCTCCAGTAGTCACCGCCAAACCGAGCGGCGGCACCACGGCTTGTCTCCATATATGACAACACTTGTTGTATAAAATTTACATCATTTTGTCGCTCAATAACTACACTGATGTAAGTCAAAAAGGCAGACGTCCAAGACCCAATGTTCAGTTGACGAGTGGACTGCTGCCTGGGTCTAAATGTTACCTGGCCTGAAGGGTCAAGCTCCATCGTGAAATTCTGACTCTCCTGTGTTGCTTGGATTTCCGATGGTAAGAGAGATTTCATGTCAACAAACTCCCCCTGGTGTATTTTTTCCTTTACCGCCTGTCTTAGGTGGAAACTAATGGTCTCCGCCCTAAAGCTAAGCTGCTGATGTGGCAGCATGTCCGCGTTCACAAGTGTATTGTTTGTGAGGGGTTGACTGTAACACCCCATCTGAGGCGTGGGCAGCTACATGAGATTGCTGCAACTCAACCGGTGCCTGCTTACCACGAGGAATCAATAATTCGGGCAATATATTTACATGAGTGATTGAGTGAGTTAATATTTAATGTCCCATCAGCAATATCTTAGCCATATCGTGACGAAAACAATTTATACAATATAAAGTGAAATATTTTTAAGATTAAAACCTGTCGACGATGGACAGTAAAAATACTACATAATCACAGAGATATTATAAAACTAGCGAACAAAGCTAAAACATTCCAATTAAAGAAGACAATACAATATAAAACACGGGCTATAGATCGCCAACAACTGAAGGTAGATCACCAAACTAGGAACTATGGCGTCTTACAGTACATTTGCTTCCTGCTTCCTTATATTAACTTGATCAAAGGGTGACATACCTTGTGAGTTGACTGACGGAGCCAGCGGGATGACGAATGCTGGCTCCAGGGGAGGTGTGGTGTTGGTTGCCGCAGGGGATGCCTCGGGTTGTGGGGCCTGACAGGCCTGGCGGGCAGTGCTCATGGGGAGAACGCCAGTCGCACGTACCTTTGCCCGTCGTTTCGCCGCTTTTGCTCGTCCCTTTACTACGGAGTGGTTGACTGCAGCTCTGAGCTTTGGAGGCATGGTGAGCCTGCGAGCACGTGGTGTAGAGCTAAATCTAGTCAATTAGATGAATGAAAAGATGACAGGAAAGAAGCCGGAGGAAAGCGTATTTAATAGAGAATTTGGAAGTAAGTTGACAACACGACGCGAGTAGAGAGAAACAAGCATTGTCACTAAGGTGACATACTCCCCCGCCGCAAATTATCAAATCAAACTTAAAAAGTAATGAAAGTGAAGGTCGTAATTTAAGATAAAGTTAAATGTCAACAAAAACATGACCAGTCAACCTTTCTTGATATCTTGCTCTGTAGTTGTTCAAACACACAAATATTTTCAAGACTCACTTTGACCTTGTCATGAATGTCTTAGTGTATGAAATATGCAAAAATAGTAATAAAGAAATTGCTCATTGAAAAACATTCAAGGGAAGTTTTGACAGTCTATGAAGAAAATCCAGTGAACTGTTCTTGAGATATCTCGCTGACAATCTTAACATGACGAGGAGTCAGTATTATGTGTCTGAGTGGGGTATTCATGCTTCACTGTGGCATGATATCTCAGTGGGCTAGCACTATAAAACCAGCTTCAGTCTGGGCTAGTACAAGCAGCCGCACATACACATACACACGCCATGCACGCTTGAGCGAAATATTTTAAAGCACGACGTTAAACTAAATTTCACCTCACCTCATCTCAAGTAAACAATGTTGCTTGCCCTCATCATACTTCACTGGCCCTGCAAACTATCAATATCAAAATGCACATCTGCAAAGCAGATTGGGATACTCAACATAATCATGTGCATTAAATAGAGAACAAATTATCTGAGATTTTCAGCAAGCCAGTAGGGATAGCTATATTACTGGCCTGATTCACAATCAGATAGCATTTGGCTAGCGGTCCAGTAGCTAGTTTGAACTGTGTGACCCACCATCTACTAGTATTTTCTTCAGAATGAATCCGATTGGTGATATCTGTAAAGCAGGAAGCGGTGGATTATCAAAGGGGCAAGCTATTCTGCCTAGGGTGATCTCTATGTTCAGCATTTCAACCTCAGCACCCACAGCGTCCGTCGCTGATGACAGATTTTTAGATATTCTGAAAACCCGGGTACCCTGAAACTTAAGCTTAAAACCATACAGCAATCCATCATACTGTAAGTGTGCATTGTAAGCGTTAACAGGTGAATTCATACGAGCGAAGAGAGTCCATCCAACATGTTACGTACGCTGACCAGAGTTGTTGCTTCAGGTATTAGCATTTAGTACTAAAAACTAAATGTCTTTATGGCAGGGATGCGAAGCTTTAATTATATCATATATCTCCGCTTCCTCTTCCGCGTACGCAGACATGCTACGTCATGCCCCAACGTCATCAATTTTGCGTACAACGTCATATGCCGTTAGCTTTCCGCCGGTATCGCCGCCATCATAGAGCATACTAGCTCTCCTCAACAGATCACTTTCACAGGATCAGGTGGATTGAGAATCAGCATCAACAACACACGAGGTAAGGGATAACTCATTTCCAACTATGTCCCATGCAATCACGATAGTCGACCTTTCGACAAGGTCACCGACGACGGATTCCCCCGTGACGATTCAAATAATGAATCGCAATTTTCATTGGAATTAGATCCTTCAGGTAATGTAAAGTTGAGGCCATCAGCCAAGGTAAGTAATAAGCAGTTGAGCATTGGTGCTTGGACATCTGCTTTCCACATCTACATGAGTACATACATGGTAAAGCATGCTTCTCAGTCTACCATTCAGGGTATGTTGGCGTACATGGAAGTCATCAGAAACGCAGCAGTGAGGTTTGGGGGAGATGGCTGGTCACTTTATGATGAACAGTTCCGTCATCGCATGGCAAGGGACCCATCAAGGTCGTGGGCTAAGATCGACGGTGAACTGTGGCTCAAGTACATGACTCCACAACCCAGTCGGTATCAACCAGCGGACAGGAGCGGACGAGCCACAGTACCATACCTTGGGGGGACTCGCAACAATGCATGCTTGGACTTCAACAGGTCACGTTGTACCAGGTCAGAATGTAAGTTCCAACATAAGTGCTCCAATTGTTGCCAGTCCCACCCTGCCAATTCATGCTTTCGAGGGAAAGGGGGGCAACGCCCCCCTATGACTGCAACACCAAACCTGCACCCAACCCCTGTCCGCCATAGCACCAACCCCAGTGGATCTCGTTAAGATTACCCCCCACTTGCATACCTACATGACCGTTAACTTATCACATGCTGTTTATCTTTTGCAAGGCTTTCAGTTTGGTTTTCGGCACCCATGAAGGGCCACCTCCTCGTGGTGGGTGCTGGGTCACGCTAAGCGCCCTTCAACCCCCGTTGTGGACCCGGGGGGATATATGGTCCACCAACCCGTTTGCCGTGGGTTGCACCCCTGTGTTGGTGGAGGACGGGAGGCTGGTGGTTGAGGGCACTGGTTCCAGGAACAGTGTTCCTTTGCCCAACACACCACTTCGCCCCTTACTTCACCTAGACGGGTGGTTGAACTGGCCCGGTTCAATCAATCGGCTGGTCACGCCAAGCCCTGTGCTACAACTGTAAAATGTTGCACAAAATTTGAGAATTATTATATGATATTTTTAAGTCTTGGCAATTTTTGAACTTTGAATTTCTGTATTTCAACTACACAATTTCATGTATGTTTTTGCCTAGAGTCGTATGCCCAGAAGGCGGTGGCTCATGGGCCAATCTGGTGGATTCATTAATCTTTTAATTTTTCTGCTGGAGTATGTCATCCGGTATCCTTGGTGCTGCAAGTTGGAACTCCACTTGTTTTTAGCATTGTCCTTGTGATACTCCGTGGTGGGTGGGGAGCTCGGATGATGAAATCTAACAAAATAACCATGGCTTATGAAACTCCAACCAAGAAAACCAAACGTCCTCTTGACAATGACCCTGTTGACAACGAACTCAGACTGCCCAAACCAACTGATTACTGGCCACGTTTTGTTGTAATTCAGACCAAAGATGATACGCCATTAAAATTAAATCCTTTTGCGGTGTCTAAAGGTATCCAAGGCATTGCTGGCGATGTGAAGAACGTTAAAAGATTACGTTCTGGTGCACTGTTAATTGAGTGTGGCAAGAGACATCAATCAATCAACCTATTGAACACTGACACTTTTGTCGGCATTCCGTCACCGTCACGGCTCACAAGACCCTTAACACGAGCAAGGGAATCGTTAGAGATCGTGAGCGATTGCTGGCTGACATGTCGGAAATAGATATCGTTTCCGAAATGAAGGAACAGGGTGTACTCTATGTTAAACGTTTTTCTACACGTAAAAACGATACAACCATCAAAACCAACACCTATCTGTTTTTTTTTTTTTACCCATTGCTCCAAAATCTCTCAAGGCAGGTTATTGTAACCTCAATGTGGAGACTTACATTCCAAACCCTCTCAGGTGCTTTAAATGTCAGAAGTTTGGCCACCGGCGTAAATGCTTGTACATTGTCTGTTGTGTGTGCTCACTGTGGTGAAAAGACACACACGACAGAAGATTGTAACAGTAATGTCAAAAGTGCATCAATTGCGCGGGGAATCACCCAGCTTACTCTAAGGACTGTCCCGTATGGAAACAGCAAATGCCAATCAATCAAATAAAATTCACGCAAAACATTAGTTTTGCAGATGCCAAGAAACTAGTCCGTGGCTCAGAACAGACAGACAGTTATGCTTCCATTGCCAGAACAACGGCTGAGGCAACATCTAGAGTAACTAAAGTATCTGCTAGTTGTCAGACAAACTTAACCTGGGTCAAAACAGAATCTCCTAAACCGATCTCGCCTGCTACATCTACACAAACTGCAGAACCACTTCCTGGTACGCCCCAAATCCAATCAGAACCATCTTATGACCGTGACACTTCTCAGTCAACTCAAAGGTCTCAATCAACGCAAACCGTTCAAGCAATCGTTAAAAACAAAGGCAAACCGAAGCCAGATTCAAAGAAACAAAGTGGCAGAGCCCCCAAGGGGTCAGATGATAAAATCAAGTTATTTAACAAATACGGATCACTTGAGGACATGGACGTGTCCGAAAACGTCCATTCTAGGGCACATAGCTTGTCGCCCTCGAAAACGCAATCTTGCGGGTAGATCCCCAATTAATCCGCCTAAAAGATAGGTTTATTTACCAATATCGTGCAGTGGAACTGTAGAGGACTCTGGACAAATTTTAATGAAATACAGCTATTAATCCAGGATTTAACACCATCAGTGTTCTGTCTGCAAGAGACGTATCTGAAACAGACAGATAATTTTAACTTACGTCAGTTTGAAGCCTATCATTATTTTTCCCCTCCAGGTGATAGAGCTACTGGAGGTTCTACTATACTTATACGGCAGAATGTTATTCACAGCCCTGTTACTCTTAACACTACTCTCCAAGCTGTTGCAGTGCGACTTACTCTGGGTGTAGCATTTACGTTATGCTCTCTGTATATTCCGCCATCATCGAACCTTCAGCCGACTGATCTTCAATCACTCTATGATCAACTCCCAAAGCCATGTGTTATTATGGGTGACCTAAACGGTCACAACCCACTCTGGGGGAGTACTAACACTAATACTAAAGGTAGGGTAATTGAAGATTTCATTTCCAATAATGACCTGTGCATTTTCAATGATGATTCAAGCACCTATCTGCATCCTACAACTGGCACTTATTCCTCTCTGGATTTGTCTCTTGCAGATTCTACCCTCCTGAATGATTTTGATTGGTCTGTTCATAATGACCTTTGTGGAAGTGACCACTTCCCAACTATCCTTTCAGAAATAACTCCATCTGATTCTCCATCGTATACAAGATGGAACTTTTCAAAGGCGAACTGGTCTTTATATCAAACTTTATGTAAATCTAAATTGCGACCTGAATGTTTCAGTGATATAACTGATCCCATTCAGATTTTTGCTGACGTTTTAAATGAAATAGCTGACGAGTGTATACCGAAATCCTCTACAACTCCACATGTACGGAAACCATGGTTTAATACAGACTGTAGACAAGCCAGAAAGGCGAGGAAGAAGGCAGAACATTATTTCCGCCACCATCCAACGGTCCATAATTTAAATAAATTCAAAATACTCAATGCAAAGGCACGTCGTACCTTCAAACAAAACAAACGACAATCTTGGAGGAAATATGTCTCCAATATTAATTCACGCACGCCAATGTCTAAGGTGTGGAACATGGTTCAGAGAATAAAAGGCAAAGGTTCCAAATCTGCTGTTCATCATCTTAAAGATGGTGACAATTTAATAACTGACAAATGCAGCATTGCAAATAAAATTGGCGAAACTCTTGCAAAAAATTCATCATCGGCAAATTATGTCCCTGAGTTTCAGAGATATCAGAAACAACAGGAAAAGACGAAACTTAATTTTGACTCGCATAACGGTGAAGATTATAATGAAGTGTTTTCATTACATGAGCTACATACTGCTCTTGAGCAAGCTCATGACACTGCAGCGGGTGATGACAATATACATTACCAGCTACTGAAACACTTACCGGAACCGTGTCTGATGACACTTTTAGATATCTTTGACAAAATATGGACGTCTGGAGAATTTCCTCCTTCATGGCGTAATGCCATTGTAGTCCCAATACCAAAACCTGGCAAGGATCATACCGATCCGTCTAATTACAGACCGATCTCTCTAACTAGCTGTGTTTGTAAAACCATGGAACGTATGGTGAATAATAGATTAACTTGGTATCTTGAAACCAATAACCTTATAACAGATGTGGTTTCAGGAAAAATCGTAGTACCATTGATCATTTGGTACGTTTAGAATCCTTTATTAAGAATGCTATAGTAAATAAACAACATGCTGTCTCAATTTTCTTTGATCTCGAGAAAGCGTACGATACCACCTGGAAGCATGGCATTTTAAAGGATTTACATGATTTTGGTTTAAGGGGTCGTTTACCTCTTTTTATTTCACAGTTTTTAAAAGACAGGCAATTTCAAGTCCGAGTGGGTTCAACCCTGTCTGATCATTATAATCAGGATCAGGGTGTCCCTCAAGGCAGTATTTTGTCTGTCACTTTATTTAGTATCAAGATTAACAGTTTGTCAAAGGTTTTAAATGATTCAATTGATGGATCACTTTTTGTAGATGATTTTAATATTTCTTGTCGCGGTAAGAATATGCATACCATTGAACGGCAACTACAGTTGTGTTTAAACAAAATAAATAAATGGTGTCTTGAAAACGGCTTTAAATTTTCTAAATCCAAAACTAATTGCATACATTTCTGCCGTAAATATAAACCACATAAAGACCCAGAACTGTTTTTAAATGGCATTCCCATCAAGGTTGTAAAAGAGGCCAAGTTTTTGGGTTTGATTTTCGACTCCCATTTAACCTTTCTTCCGCATATTAAATCCTTAAAAACTAAACGCCTGAAGGCACTCGATTTGTTGAAAGTTGTTTCCAACTCAAAGTGGGGAGGGGATCAAGCTACTCTGCTCCACCTATATTGATCATTGGTCCGCTCGAAGCTTGATTATGGCTCCATCCTATATGGTGGAGCCTGCAAAAGCAACTTAAAACTTCTTGATTCTGTCCACCACCAAGGCCTAAGACTTTGTCTTGGGTCCTTTAGAACCTCTCCTATTGATAGTCTATATGTTGAAGCAGATGAGCCTTCTCTTACACAACGTTGGATAAAATTATCCTTACAATACATTACTAAACTATATTCTAGCGAGTCTAACCCTGCATTTAACTGTGTCTTTCATCCCGTCTATGAGGATTTATACAATAAAAAACCTTCTCTTGTTCCGCCTCTTGGGCACAGAATTAAGCCTTTCATTTCTGCAGCCGGCATTGAGCTGGAAAATATAGCTCCTTCCCGTCTTTTTCTTCTCCTCCTTGGCAACTGGTGAGGCCTGAAGTTGACCTAACTCTGACAAAGTTTAAGAAATCTCAAACTAATGAATTACAATATAAACAAGAATATAATCAATTAAAAATAAATATAATACATACAAATCCTTATTTACAGATGGGTCCAAGGATGTTGGCGCGGTGGCATGTGCCACTGTCATTGGATCCAGAACAATCTCCTCTCGTTTACCAGATAACAGCTCTATTTTTACAGCTGAAGCAAACGCCATATTAACAGCCTTAAAATATATTAAAAAACACACTAAATATCAACAATATATCATCTTTTCTGACTCTCTTTCTTGCCTTCAGGCTATTAAAAATATTTCTTGTAAACATCCACTTTTATTAGAAATTATTGAATTATATAATGAGCTTGCTACTGGCCAATGCGACATCGTCTTTTGTTGGTTACCCAGCCATGTTGGCATTTCTGGGAATACAATGGCCGATCTTGCTGCCAAGGCAGCACTCAACAAATCTGTCACACCACTTCTTATTCCTTACTCTGATTGCAAGGCTGCTATAAGATCCTATATCCGTGATCTGATGCAAAAGAAGTGGGACACCCAAGTAGGTATTAATAAATTACATGCAATAAAACCCTACATTGGTTACACCTACTTGGGTTGTCAGTCCAGATTTGAGGAGGTCATTATGCGACGATGTCGCATTGGACACACAAGATATACTCATGAATATTTACTGAAAGGCGAAGAACCTCCGTTTTGTATCCCTTGTGATGAAAGAATCACAGTCAAGCATGTCCTGCTTGACTGTGTTGAATATTCCATCACAAGGGATAAGTATTTCAATGTCAAAACTTTGAAGGATCTTTTTTATAATGTTAATTATCATTTAATAATTGAATTTTTAAAAGAATTAGATTTGCTTACTGATCTGTAAATAGTTAAATATTTTATTGTTGGTAGTTTAGATTAATAACTGAGATTGTTAGTGGCTGTGCCCTCAAAGGGGGTTGAAGTAGGGTAAAATTATTGTCCTCCTGAGAGGGTACGTAAGTCCCAAAGCATTCAATGTAAATTTAAATCTACTGTTTTTTTAATCGTAGAATATATGTTCTTTTAATTTGTGGCTTGAATATCTAAAATTGCTAATAGCTGAGGGATGGTGTAAATCCAGCTAGGGTCCATGCAGGAAGCAAAAGTACTGTAAGTCCCCATGGTCCCTAGTATGGTGATCTACCTTCAGTTGTTAGCAATCTATAGCCCGGTTTTATATTGTATTGTCAACTATAGTTAAACTGTTTTAGATATAATTACTAGTTTTTAAATTATTCTTTGTGATAATCTAGTTATTTTACTGTCCTTCGTAGGCAGTCTTTTATAATTTACTATTACTTACTATGTGTACCAATTAATTGTTCTCGTCACGATATGGCTGAAATATTGCCGATGTGACGATAAATTTTAACTCACTCACTCACTCACTCAGTTTGGTTTTCAATTAGAGTTCAGTGGGCAACGCTCTAAAAGATGGTCCAGCAACCTTCGTTCAGCAATGGATCCCACAAAGCAGGGTATTGTAGAAAGTAAGTTACACTCAGAGTTAACGCTGGGACGGATTGCTGGCCCATTTCTTCAACCTCCGTTCCCCAAATTCCAAGTTTCGCCAATCGGTTTAGTACCAAAGAAGCAAACATGTGCATGTGACTCCATAGGTAAGAATGCTGATGATTTTCGATTAATCCACCATCTTTCCTATCCCCAAGGCAAGTCTATAAACGACCATATTGACCACCAGGCCTGTTCAGTCTCAGCTAGCCAAGTTTGACATCAAATCTGCATTTAGGATCATGCCAGTCAATCCTAAAGATTTCGAATTGCTTGGTATGCATTTTCAGGGTGAGTATTACTTTGATAAATGTTTGCCATTTGGTTGCTCAATATCATGCTCTGTGTTCGAGAAATTCAGTACCTTTTTGCAGTTGCACATCCTGAGACAGTTACCCAATAGGCAGCTGATGCACTACCTCGATGACTTCCTGACAGGGGGACGACACGGGTCCGGGGAGTGTGAACAGAACCTTGGGACATGCCTGATGGCCTTGTCCGACTTTGGTGTGCCCATCGCACACGAGAAAACACTCGGCCCAGCAACATGCTTGACATTCCTTGGTCTCGAGATCGACACAGGGAATATGCAGGTCAGAATACCAACGGGTAAGATCGAGGATGTCTCACAGTTAATACAATCTCTGCTTTCTGCAGGCAAATCAAAGACGACTCGAAAGGTGCTGCAATCACTGGTGGGTAAACTCAATTTTATGTGCCGTGCCATTCCCATGGGCAGACCTTTTTGTCGCAGATTCATTGACGCATACAGCAAGGCATCAGTCACATCACATTCGCCTCACGCAGTCGTTGAGGGAAGATCTAGCTATATGGCTTACTTTCCTCAACAGCTTTAATGGTGTATCTGTGTTTCAGAATAGTCAGTGGTTGGACAGCTCGCACGTACAGTTATATACTGACGCAGCCAGCACTGCAGGCTTTGGGGCATACTTTCAGGGACGCTGGGTGAACGGGTGCTGGCCGGACGCCTGGGTACCGGACGGTCTGACGAAGGACATGACACTCCTGGAGCTGTTTCCTATCGTACTAGCGGTACGGCTCTGGGGTAACTGTTTCGCCAACAAGAAGGTACTTTTCTTCTGTGATAATCAAGCAGTGGTTTCCATCATCAACAAACAAACATGTAAGGTGCCCCGTATCATGTCCCTTGTCAGACAGCTAGTCCTACTCTGTCTATCCCATAACATATGGTTCAAAGCAAAATACATCAGTACCACAAACAATGTAATCGCGAGATGCTTTGTCGAGATTTCAGTGGCACCGATTCCGAGCAGCAGCACCAACAGCAGAGGCGCAACCGTCCCCACTTCCGGACAACCTTTGGACCATCTGACAAGGGAGGCGGACAGATTGCTACAAGTATCACTGGCGAGTAACACCTGGTCAACCTACCAAGCAGGGGTTTAGGCGCTATGAGCATCCAGGACACAACATATGGGATCCCGGAAACATGGCCAGTACCATTGATAATCTTGTTCATTTCATTGCTTACTTGTCATGACAGGGCTTGCACCTAACACAGTAAGGACGTACGTCACCGGTATTGCGACTACCCACAAGCTGCGCAATATGCATGACACCACAGGACATTTTATCATTACCAAAATGATACAAGGTATGTATGAAGTCAGTCTAAGAAGGGACCTGCGCAAACCAATCACACTGGAACTGTTACAGGTAATTGTAACAAATCTAAGGTCAGTATGTTCTTCATCGTACGAAGTTTCCCTTTTTCAAGCTGTATACTGTGTGGCGTTCTTTGGATTTTTTCGGGTAAGCGAATTGGTACAGACTGGACAACAACACCCCGGTTGTCAGGCTCAAGAGGTCACCATAGAAGATGGCAACCTGTTAGTTACTCTCCGTCACTCAAAGTCGGACAGACTTTCAAAAGGTATTACTATCAGCATCTCCAGCTCTCCAACCCATGGTCTGTGCCCGGTAGCGGCATACAGAGCTCATTTGGGTAAGCGCACAAATGGATCACAGCAGGTCTTTGTACACTTTGACCATACCCCACTAACTAGGTATCAGTTTCAAGCAGTTTTAAAGAAATCCCTTGCTTTCAGTGGGATTGACACTTCCTCCTATACCTCCCATTCTTTTCGGGTAGGAGCAGCTACCACGGCAGCGTGCAAGGGTGTAAGTTCAGAGCTAATTCAGCACTTTGGTCGGTGGGGATCTGAGTGTTACAAAACTTACATACGCATTCCATTTTTCATATAATAATCTAATAGGCTCTCCAATTCATAAGTAACCTATTTGGCTTTATTGCGTATTGTCCATTCTCCTTCTGTGAGTGATCGCATGTTTCAGTTTGGCTGATCGGGTCCAGTTACTTAGCGAGAGTCAGTAACCAGCGGGGCCATCGGCTTGACAGCGATAACATCCTCTGGCTGGCGAGGGGAGGGATGCGATGGGCAGATCTCCGACAGGTGGTTGACCGACAAGTGGCCAGGGCAACCGGCCACCCCAAGGCCCTTGTGATTCACTTAGGGTCGAATGACCTTGGCCAAGTCACCGCCTGCGAGCTTTCGCATGAGATGGAGCTGTCGATGCTCCTCGATCCGCCTGCTGCTCCCAAGACCACCATCATCTGGTCGGATATGCTACCTCGCCGGTACTGGCACGTGGCCAGGTGCCCTACCAAGCTGGAAAGGACAAGAGCCAAACTGAACAGAAGGGTTGGTAACATGGTGCGAGGTGTTGGTGGTATACAGGTCCTCCATCCCCAGTTCAACGCCAAAGACAGGGACCTGTATGCCTTCGACGGCGTACACCTGTCACGGAGAGGCATGGACATTTTATTAACAACATCGCTAAAACCCTGGACTCTATCCTTAACTGAGAAACTGCAACTGCAATATGTAAACGTTTTCACCTTTTCCTTACGTTATTTTCGTGTAGAGAAGCTGGTGGGTTTATTCCTGTATGGCCTGTGTGTGGGGTAGCACTTTCGTGCTAGTGGCGGGGTGCTCGTGGGCTGCTGTTATATTTGGCTGCACGTCTAAATTTTGCACTGTTAGGGTCTTCTGCTTTACAGCAAGGATCAGGTATATCCACTCTGCTTTACAGCAGGTGACTAGGGTTTGCTTTACAGCAAACAGTTGGCTTGGCAACAGTAGTTGCCCTGGCTCAATATTCTTTTACATTCGGTGCCGGGTAGCGCCATGCCAAGGGTTTCCTAGTAACGGTAGTTACTAGGGCAGCGGTAGCTGCAGGTGCATTTTCATTACTACTAATGCAGCAGCCCTCGAGCACCCCCACACTCTAGGCCATTTAACCCATATACGTCTTTATTATTTCTACCTGTGGGCGAAGTATCTCCTGTTATAATTTGTCTATACTGCTGGAGTGTACGTGGCTGGTAATTTGCACCGGTGATAGATGGCGTTCTGACGGACGCATGGGAATGAAAACAGCTCTGTATGTCACTGGTTTTCCTTTCTCTATTTTCTCGCTCTCTCTGCTGCACTCATAGCCATTGTGACTGTCCTTTGTTTGTTCTTTCACAATTTGTTGAATCTTTTCCTTTGTATTTTGAATTTCTTCATACAAATCTTCACCATTTGTAGCCACACTGCAAGCACGGCACTATCTCTTGGGTGGAAAAGTAACAAGAAAAGAAATTGTGTCCAGGGACACGGATGCCCCCGCTGACATTCATAAGACATATAAAAATCAATAATTGAACAAAATTCACGAACAAGTTCAATAAACATCTGTGCAACTATGACATGCACACCTTTCGAGTCTCAATGAAACACATGTATAAGCTTAATCAATTCTGTTGAGCAGTTTTTTGTGGAGAAGTGGATAGACTTAATCCCCTATTTCACTATCATCAGAGAGAAATTCAGGAAAATTTATCTAGTTCAAAATTCTCTAAACATACAAAAAATTATAATATACGAAAACAAAATATGAGATGGACACCTTTATAGTCTCTATAAAAGACATATGTAAGCTAAATGAGTTTTGTGCAGTTGGTTTTGAGGAGAAGTGGATAAAGTACACCCCCTGTTGGATGGAACGAACAGACTGAATAGAACAAAATTCAACTAAGTTCAAACGAACTGGATCAATAGAGCCAATTCAAGTTTAAACATCTGTAGAAGAGACAAAATTAAGAAACTGGAAGATCAAGGTATGAGACGCACACCTTTAGAGTCCCAATGAAACACACATAGAAGGCCAATTCTGTTGAGCAGCTTTTGTGGATAAGTTGATAGACTTCATCTCCTATAACACTATATTCAGAGAGAAATTACCGGTAAACAAAATTTATGCAAGTTTAAACGGCATTAAAATTGGAAAAAATAAATAAAATACAATATCAAAATATGAGATGCACGCCTTTAGACTCCCTATAAAGCACATGTGTAATCTAAATGAATTCCATAAAGTAGTTTTTGAGGAGAAGTGGATAACGTACACACCCTGTTGGATGGAACGAACAGACTGAATAGAACAAAATTCAACTAAGTTCAAACATTTGTAAAAGTGACAAAATTAAGAAATTGGATGAACAAGGTATGAGATGCACACCTTTAGAGTTCCAATGAAACACACGTAGAAGCTCAATCAATTCTGTTGAGCAGCTTTTGTGGAGAAGTGGATAGACTTCACCCCCTACAACACTTTATTCAGAGAGAAATTCAGCAAAATGAACCTAAGTTCAAATGTCTCTAAACTTACAAAAAAAAACCAAATAAAATAAAAAAACAAAATATGAGATGCACACCATTAGAGTCCCAAGAAAGCCCATGTATAAGTTCATTGAATTCCACAGAGCGGTTATGGTGGAGAAGTGGATAGAATACATTCCGTTTCGTACGGACAGACGGACGGACACCGAGGGTAAGCCTATATGCCCCTGCAATATATGGCGGGGGCATAAAAAAATAGTGAAACCTCTCCGTAGTTACATTTAGGTCTTTTTCTAGGACAAATAAAAGCCTTCATGGTTCAGTGCTCTCATCTGAATCATATGGACTATACAACACATCATTGTAGTGAAGACAAAAGTTATTATTATTGGTTTTAACACGCAGAATATGAAAATGTTCATTGAATGTGAATTTTAAAACTGCCTTGTAAACAAATGTCACAACCGTCAGAACGTGTAATTACCATCACTTCATCTGACAGTAATGACCTGTTACGGTCGTGACATTTTACCCGGATCATTTTTTGCATAAATCATAGTAAAGGATATATAAACATCTTTCATATTAGCAAAAAAAATAATTTGTGTATTAATTATTAAATGTTTTACATAGTGCTAAACACTATGGAGTGATTTGGGGCCTCTAATAGTGCAATGACCCTGATATGTTTGTTGTATGTTATCAGATACGCAAGCAGACTCGGGCTTCTCCCCCCACTGGCCCAGCCTCAGACATGTGCAGAGGAGAGATATAACAGTACTTAGTCACTGTCGAACCCACAACACCATCTCTTGAAACAGTGTTCACGAAAAGCATCATCCGATGAATATTGCAGAACTGCCAGTTTTTGTGTCCGACAGGATATTACATCAATGAAAAGTCTTGCATTATTTTGTTTTCATCAATAAATAAATCAAACATGGCGGCTTTTGTTGTTTTTCATGGAATATTAAGTGGAACACGTTTGATGCTATTTTTATCGATCGATCACGGTCGGCTAACAAAGTTATTTAATGTATTGTGCAATCTGATTGGATATTGTCATGTCAGCTTCTTTTCATCAACCAATCAGATTCCATGATACGGAAAGTTTAGTTTAGACACTATCACAACAAGAATGGTGGGATTTCCGTAACCTTTCGATTCACGACGTATAATGACATAAATAGGAGGGTCATGTTGAATTTCCTGAAACATTATCATGGTGCTAGGCCTTCAAAGGCCCCTGCAAAGAAGCGTCCACTTACAGAAGAAGTTAAATCATCAGAGAAACGGTCTAATTATGAACGACGGGACCGGACGTTCAAAACGTCATGGAAAAATGGGAACAGTTGGTTGACGTTCGTCGATGGGAAAATGACTTGCGACATTTGTATTAAATATAATGCTAGTGCTGAATTCAGTTCTATTTAGAAATGCAGTTGCAGTTAAAAATAGACCCCTTTCGGATTTCAAATGGTTGTGTGAACTGGACAAAGTTCGATCTTCTAGAAATTGGAGACATACCTCAACGATAGGGCAGCTTTGAATAGTATTGATGTTATATACCAGTCTTA